TTTCCTTTCAAGAACAGGAAGTTTGTTTTTCCTGTTTGACAATAAAAAAAAGTTTCTAAGTGTGCTATTTAATGAACCAGAACATTTAATTTTTACAAAAGAATGCTTTTATTCCATTCATTAAATATGTTTGTCAAACATAACGAGGACTTTTCAATAACCATTCCATTTCCCTTTAATGTAAAATAAAAAAGAAATTTTCTATTTTGATAAAACATTTACGAAAACCCAAATTGAGGTGACTTTTCAAAACCTTACCGCCAAGAGATGCTTTTTCAAAACGTTTTACCAACTACTCTAACAGTTACCTCTACACCTCAACCCACGATTACCCATTTCATCATTCCTTTCATTTAATGCTCCCACTTTGCATTAAATGTGGGTCTTTTTTGAATTTTCTTTAAAATTAGTTATTTTCAAAACCGGATAAAAAACCCTTTACCTTCCTTGTTACTGCTGTAAAAAGAAAATTTTACCACATTGAATATCTTTTCAAATCCGGAGGTATAAATCCCTTCTTCTTCTTCCCAAGAAAGCTTTTATGCTCTCTGATTCTTTGACGATCTTTCTCTCAAACCTATTGCTCAAAAGATTTCTAGTAAGTTCCTAAATTTTTTCGATCAACAATGGTGAACTCAAGCATTTCGAAGAAACAAGAAAAACCAACCAATTTAACATCTACTGTGAAAACACCAGGATCGACGATTGCTCCGGGAAATTATCGAGGGATCTTTCAAGACCATAACTTCTATGATGAATCGATCAAGATCATGAACAGATTCATGGAGAAACACTAGCTCTTCAACGCATTCAACTCAGTGGCTGACATTGTTCCTCTCCCTTTGTTGTTAAAATGTGTCTTCTCAGCCTACCGACCACCTGATGACCCTGAAACTATCAACTTCATTCTCGATGATGAATCGACCGCGACACTCACCAAGGCTAAATTCCTTGATTCAATTAATCTCAGGGTACCTCCAAACAAAATATTCAAGATTCCATCAAATGAAGATGTGTTTAAAGCTCTATATTGGATGGGCTATCAGTCTAAATTGAAAGGGATTTCCGAATTCGAAAAGGCAAAACTTCCGGTTGTGTGGCAATTTGTGTGTCATTATCTCATTCGATGCCTTTCTGGCAGAACCGGTGGCACAGATGCCATGGGAAAGCAATTTTTGGATCTTCTATGGAGTATCTTCACCAGCGAACCAGTGGAATTTACGTCAATCTTATGGGTCGACTTCTTGGCCTATGTTGGAAGGAATGAACCAAGATCGGGCCTCATCGAAGTCACCTCTGCCCGCTTCTGGTCTCTCTGCATCAAAGACCTTCATGTCGCAGCCAACATTAGTCTAGGCGTAGACATCAACTTCTTTGTCTGCCGTACACTTAAAAGGTACTCTCTTCACAAAGATCAATTTGTCTTCGGTCCAATTAGACAACTTCCTTTACATATCTTGACCGAATTAGGATTTATTACCCATTTGGTCTCTAACCATATGGAGGCTACGAATGATGTACCGCCATATCCTTCTACTCGCCTCCCCTCCCCCCCCCTCCTAAAACCATTAACCCTGTCCTTGCACCAAAAGGAAATAGAAACAAACATATTGCAAGGAAGAAAACTTCTAAAGACGCTGCAAAAACTAAAACCAATAGAAAAATGTATGCGGTCACTAAACCATCCACTAAAGTTCATCCAACATCAGAACCTCAGCATACTGCAAACCCTTTAAATGAAGAAGAATCTGAAGACTCTCAACCTATGTAAAGAAAGTGAAGAAATTCTACCATCTCTCCCACTTGCCAAAAGCATCACAAGGCCCATACCGAAGACTCTTAACAATATTTGGTAGCCATTGAACTAAACGTTGAGTCACCTTAAAAGACCCCATCCAACCACTCTGGCTCATCAAGTGAATCGGTTTCAGCACACTCGAATGGAGACATAACCCAATCAAGATTTCTAGATGATCCTGATGTCGATCAACCTCCCAAGGTCTCCGGGAAAACAACAACATATCTTTACCCTACAGGAGCTGAAATCCATTTTTTCTTCACTTACACATACTACACCGCAGGGTCCTCTTTCAAAGACCTTAGACAGAACCGATCTGAGGCCAGACTTGATTATAGACCAAGGAGACCAAGGAAGATCTGGAAATCCGATATCACCTACATTACTATCAAGCGGATTAGGCACATGGAGCCTCATTGGGCAAGGAACCGTGAACCCGGGGGGACACACTGATGGTAATTGGTGCAAATTCTCATTTTTAGGTGATAGTTGGATGAACTACAGGCCAATCACTGACAAGAACTCCAAAAGTTTGAAGCTCATAAACGAGCAATCAGAGCAAGGAATGAGCAATCCCTACTGATCCAACAAAAGAAAGAAGAAGCCAATCGTCAAGTGGCCTCATACTTAGCTTCAACAATTATCAACATGAAGAAAGCTCATGATCTGGCCCAAACCAGAGCTTGGATGGCGATGATGGAAGAAACAATTCACAAAGCTCATACCAGAGACGGGGCTTAGGCTGGAGGTACCAAACCTCCCTCTCGTCCTCCATCATCTGCATCATCAATGCCAAAGCAATCATTCCAAGGGAGCACAAAAGTGCGACTCAGCATAGATCGACTTCTCAATCAGGACGACAAAAATTATATTGTGGTGAACAAAGAACCAGTTGCACAAGATTTTCATACGTTCATCGACCTCGAGGAATAGAGTGGATCCTAACTCTCTACCTCCAAGCTCAAGGAGAAGAAGAAGAAAAAGAAGAACACCGTAACAAGAAAAGAATCTATTAATCTAAAAAATCTCCTCCAAAATCCCCTTAAAAGCCAGTTGAAGAGGAGATTATGTCCTCTGATCACTCAAACGACTCCCCGGACACAAGCTAAAAGAAAAGAGACTAGAGAGGTACCAAACTAGCTGAAGATATATGGCATGCTCAGGGATTCGACACAACCCTTGATGAATGATTAATCAATTCATGGATAAATCCATGACGCTGACTTTTAGATGAAGATTATGTTCCTCATCTCTCATACTCTCCCCCAAGCAAAAACATGTATTGGGACATTCATTTCTCCCCCAATGGGATATTCTATAAGGTGTTTGAAGACTTTAATATGCGGATTCCTAATTACAAAAGACTACCCATGGAGTTCGACAGGTTAACACTTTTTCACAAAAATGGGAAATTATATAAGGTGATGAATATAAACAAAAATTGTAAGTCGGAATAAAGGACTTACCCGTAAAATAACTATGTCATAGTGATCGTCTTCCATATTTTTAGTTGGGATTCGGAATTAATATGTCGGAATCGGAGAGTCGGATTGGCGTGTTGGAGATCGAAATCGGAATCGGAGAGTCAGATTGTCGTGTCGGAGTGTATCGGAAAGTCAAGATCCAGAATGACATCAAGATTCGGATTTTTTCGGAATATATTCCGGAATTCAAAATTCAAAAATTTTGTCTGTATTACGTACGAATACTCTGGAATGGCCATTCCGGAGGACACCTGATGGGTCGGCCCACTAGAAATCGACTTCTATTTCATTCCGGAACGGCCCATCGAAGAAAATGATTATTTTACAAAAAAAAATAATAATAAAAAAATAAAAATAAAAAATAAATAAATAAATTGGTTATTTAAAAAAACATCAAAAAATGAGTAGTTTACTTAATTTCCCACAATTTATTTATCTTTCTTTATCATCAACTCTATACAAATATAATCCCTTCTTCTCAATATCGATTTTTAAAAGGAAAATTCCAATAAAGTCGTTACATATTGGTCTCGTAGTCGATTTAGTCCTTATATCTTTTTTTATTCACTTAAGTACCAAAAACCAGTAATCGTATTTAATTTAACCCTTTTACCCAGTCAACAAGTCATCCAACTTTTAAAAATTTCATTTTTGGCCCAGATTTCAAATTTTATTACAAATTCGGTCCAAAATTTACACTTTTTGCCTAGCTTTTAAATTTTGTTACAAGTTTGGTCCAAACTTTATCATTTTTGCCCAAATTTTAGAATTTTGTTATGAATTCATTTTAACTTTAGTGTTTTTTACAACTTTTTTCTCAAAATTTTGTTTTGAATATGTTTTTTTTAATAAAATCCTATTCATACAAAAAAACATATTTTCACATAAAAAAATCTTATATTTTCTATACAAAAACTTTTAAAAAAACTTTTTTTTATACGAAATACCTATTTATAAAAATAAGTATTTATTAAGTACATAAATTTATACAAAATTATATATATATAAGGAGGGGATCAAATGAGAACACCTAAAAGATTGAGAACGCGATAACAATTCTAGATCAATCAATATATAAGGGCATACTAGTAAGTGTATATTTTAATTAAATTAAAATAAAATAAAATTCAATCAAATTTCTTTAAATTTAGGACCAGTTACTAAAAAAGAAATAAATATTCAATTTTTTATTTTTCTTATTAATGGAATATAAAAATAATTTTACCAAAATTTATTTTAAAATTGAAAAATAAAATTCTTAAAAAAATCATTTTTTTTCTCCTATTTCACGTTTTTTTTTTTGTGTGTGTTAAAAAAAATGAATAGAAATCGAACACCAAATTAGTATATTTGTATTCATAAATGATTTTTTTTTTCAAAAAATCTAATACTACTCCAATCACAAATAAATACACATCAATTTACAAGTAATCTAATTCCTTTTTTTAATCAATTGAAAATAAAAAGAGTGTAAAAATTATCATTTCTTCATAAAAAGAATACCTCTAATCATAAATAAATATACTTATTAACACATGCTTACACTGTTATTCACAAATAAATACACTGTTATTAACAAATGAGTACCCTGTTATTCAGAATTAAATAAATGAATACCTCTAATCATAAATAAATACATCCATTCACTGTTATTCACAAATGAATACACTTCTATTCACACATGAATGCACTGCTATCCACAAATGAATAAATGATATTCACAGATAAATACAATTTTTCATTCTTCCATTTCCTCTCACACTCCCTTCTTTTTCTCCTATCTTCGAGGTGCAAGAAAAACACCCCCACCAGAGGTGTTTGCTGGTGGTTTCCGACGAGCCAAGGGCAGCAGCCCCCTCCGTTTTCTCCCTCTGTTTTACGACACACCAAGCAACCCAAACACCCCCTGTTGTCATTTTCTTTCTGCCTTCCTCCCCCCCTTCATTGACAGTAACTGGAACAAGAAAATGAAGTGGTGAAGAGGTTTCCAGAATAGCCCCAGCCACTCCACTAATACGATGAACCACCAAATCGGTGGAGGTGCTCCCTATTCTTCTTTCTTCGCCCCTGAAACAATTTCATACTTCATCATTTTCATGTTCTTGATAGAAAACCCTAAAATCGGAAAAACACAAAATTGAAAGTGAAAGAGATGGATTTAAAGTGAAAGAGATGGATTTGTAACTCAAAACATCGAATAAAGGTGATATATCAACGTATCGATTCTGAATAAATGAAAGATAAAGGAAGCCCTAATCATACCCTTTACCCTTCATAACCAGGAAATCACCATCGACATAGCCTCTATCATCAACCTTTATCTTCACAGCAACATTCAAGCAAAATCGAGATCATGCCTTCCAACTTGAAATCGAATGCTGGTCTAGAATCTCCAATGAAAACCAATGAACTAACATCGACTTGTAGGAGTGCCCTTTCGTTGATTTTATGGATTCCTCCTGCTCTATGGTTCGGTTCGGCTTCTAATATGTTGTATGAGATGAGGCGGTGAGATGATGCAGATGCCAATTGTATGGTCAACAAAATAGAGTGAAATAGAGTAATTATAGGAGTTTACAAAATTAGGGTAATGCTTATTTACCTTAATAGCCTTTATAACTTTTTTTAATTTAAAATTTAAAAATTAAATGTATTAATAATTAGAAAAATAACAATTAATTATAGCCACACATCTTAAGAATTAGATGGCTCAGATCTGTTCTCGTGTTCTCAACATTTTAGGTGTTCTAATTTGATCATACTCTTATATATATATATATATATATATATATATATATATATATATATATATATATATATATATATATATATATATATATATACAGATTCATATTACTGAGAACAAAATAAATGCTTTTGTAAATACATTTGTATGCAAAACACATATTTATAAATATATATATATATATATATATATATATATATATATATATATATATATATATATATATATATATATATATATATATATATATATACAAACACGTATTTCATACTAAACATATACATTTCTTTTGTAAAAACATATTTATATGCACCCAAATAAATGTTTGTATACATTTATTTTGTAAACACACACACACACACACACACACACACATATATATATATATATATATATATATATATATATATATATATATATATATATATATATAAACACCTACATTATAATAAATGCATTTGTATTCAAACATGTTTATATATAAAATGTATACAAACACATATTATATAAAAAAATATATAGATCCACAGATATTTGTATGCGCGCGCACACACACACATATACACACACACGTACACATGTTTACTATGAAAATTGGAGTTTGTTTACATTTTTTTTATAAATATGTGTTTGTATACAAATGTATTTATAATAAAATAGGTGTTTGGATACATTTTTTTTTTGTAAAATACGTGTTTGTATACGTTTTTTTTTATAAAAATGAATTTGTATATATTTATGTACTTAATAAATACATGTTTTTATAAATAGATATTTCGTATACAAAAAAGTTTTGATATAGAAAATATAAGAATTTTTATGTGAAACTATGTTTTTTTTTTTGTATAAATATGACTTTATAAAAAAAACATATTCGAAATAAAATTTTGATAAAAAAAAGTAGTAAAAATAACTAAAGTTAGGATAAATTCATAACAAAACTCTAAAATTTGGGCCAAAAGGGTAAATTTGGATGAAATTTGTAATAAAATTTAAAATCTGGACCAAAAGTATAACTTTAGACCAATTTTGTAATAAATTTTGAAATTTGGGCTAAAAATGTAGTTTTTGAAAGTTGGATGAACTGTTGACCGGATAAAATGTTTAAATTGAATACGATTACCGGGTTTTTTAGACTTAACTGAATAAAAAAGATATAATTACTAAATCGATTATGAGGCTAATATGTGTAAATTTTGAACCAAATTTATAATCAAATTTTGAAATATGGGCAAATAATATAATTTTTGAAAGTTGGATAACCTGCTGACCTGGTTAAAATGATTAAATTGAATACGATTACCGGTTTTTTGGATTTTATTAAATAAAAAAAATAATTATTAAATCGATTATAAAATCAATATATAAAAACTTTATTGTAAGGATTTAATTGGTTTCTGTATGCTTGTGTGGACACTCTTATTAACAAATGGTATAAACTTTATTGTAAGGATTTAATTGGTTTCTGTATGCTTGTGTGGACACTCTTATTAACAAATGGTATAGAACTAACCAGTAGTAGTATAGAGCTTTAGTTTCAAAATTCCAAAACCATTTTCTCGTATAATTATGCATAATTAAGAATGTTACTATCATAATGCAATCCTTTGTGACAGTGCTGCATGTGAATGTACCGCACATCACATCATGTACCTTACATTTTTATGCAACCTCGTGAGAGCTAAAAATTTCTAACTATTATGGAATTTGTTACTTAATCACTAAGTCTCACAATTACTTAGTAAACTTTTATAATTATTAGAGTAGATTTAGAGTATGATTAGGACTCTTTGTAAATTTAAATATATAATACCCTTAGATGTTATTCTTGATAATCATTCATTTATCTCATCTATCCTTAATATCGACTTTACACAAAAAATATGTTCCATTTATTGTGGATTTTATAATACCAAGTTCTTGTTACTTTTGTTTTTTTTCATAAAGATGTTCACATATAATTTTGCCATCCACAAACATGTTTTTTCCTCCAAAACATAAATGATTGTATGTGACAATGGTATATACGGATCTAACTCACACTACAATATTTGCAAACTTCGAGAAACTCTATATATATTATCACAAAATAATTAATAAATGTACCTTCCAGGCACCTACACCATAAACAGACTTCGCTACCTTTGAATTCATTGAAAAGAAAAGAAACTTCCATCGTTTATTAGTTAATAGTCAAATATACAGAATTACACTTAATAACACAAAGAACATATTAAAATTTGACAAGAATATATTAATAGTTTTTGTACGGAGGCTTAGGAAATTATTTTAAAATTATGTTCTATAATATATAACTTATGGAATCCATTTGATATGACTGAACGTAAGGATTGACTGTATAATTGCTATATGCATCGCTTGAACATGTTATCAATACTTATGTACTCCACAAACTGTAGAGGTGTGCTTATTTAGTAAATCTAAATGAACAACATCGTAAAATCAACTTATATATAGGTTAATAACTTCTTACATATAGTTTTTTTCCTCTTATTATTCTTTCTATTTTAAAGCTAAGTTTTGTCTCTATTGTTGATAATGACCTAATTCTGACAAGTTCATTGTATATAGTTCCTTGTATATAATGTCAACTTCTTCTATGCATTTATCTTGTTCATATATTTATTATATTAATTAATAACGACTTAATTGAATGTCTCACCATAAGAAACTTCTTGGTATATCAACATTTGCACTTTGTCAATGTTGATGTAGATATCATATGCATGTTTTCTTTAAAAATTATATCATAAAAAATAAAATTCAGCAGCTTTAACTTTTGTGATTTTTTAATATTTTATCTAATTAAACATGTGGGACATACGAGTTTATTAGATAGAGTGGGTTACAATCATGACTTTATGCAAAAAGTAAAATGAGCCTATAAATATAACTTTTTATATAAGAAAAAATTTACTAATATTACAATAAGTTGCCAATTGTTATCATCAAGCTAATCAAAACAAAAAGTGTCATTGACTCGTCGCTAATCAATCGCTGGTCAGTCAATTATCTGTCAATAATTCTAATACACGTAAAAACATTTCATTTATGTGACAGGTTTATGCCGTTTATGTGTTGCTTTATTTTAAAAAAATCAGCCATCTTTGCAAATATAATACACACATATAAATAATTATTATGGTTTTAGAAAAGAAATCCAACACATACTATTTTAACTTTTTGTTCATTATATAAA